TTAAGAGGTGTTTTTCGTAATTATTGCTCGGATAGAAAAACGGCTCTACAGAATTAAAGAAAATAATAAAATGTATTTCGGAGACTTTTCAATATATATCAAAAATATGACAAAAAATTTTGATGTTAATTGTAAATCAAAAATTTTTGTTACATTTTTGATATATATTGAAAAATCTCCGAAATATATTTTATTATTTTCTTTAATTCTGTAGAGCCGTTTTTCTATCCGAGCAATAATTACGAAAAACACCTTTTAATAAGAATTATTTCGATCGGTAATAACAGGACGGTCCAGGCCCCTCTTAAAGCCCCTTGCACAATGGACGGAATAGCGATAGCGATAGAAATAACAAAAGTTTTTAACACAGAATTCCAACTCGTCGGAAATTTTATCGCTATTGCTTGTTCCGATTTTCTGATCCGCATTGATACATGTGTAGTTTTGTATGTTAGATTTCCGCTGTTCCTACCTTTATTTTTAAATATAAACTCTTTAAAACTTTTGTTATTTCTATCGCTATCGCTATTTCGTCCATTGTGCAAGAGGCTTTATTGCTAGTCCATATGCCATTCTAATCAATTGAGGGTCTTGGTGCACTTATGGCTCTTGGACCCTGAGGGTTAGTCCATACGCCACTCGCTGGAAATTTCTAATCAATTGAAATGATATGCTCTCGAACTACAACCAGAAAAAAGTGTGAGAGCGGCCAAGTCTATAAGAGAATGTGTAATCAATTTTCCGCCCCGTAAACTAGCGCGTGTCCACGAGTGGTACACATTGGAACTACGCAGCCAGTCCACGAGCGACATGTCGGTGCGCTATGTCCACAGCGTGCGGTTCTATTCTGTGCTATGTGCACGCGTCCAAATGGTCACCTTCTTCAGGCGTGTGAGTATATTCGCGAGCGTGGATTTGATTTCTTTTGAAATTTAAAATGACCGATCTCGCGATGAGAAGATACGAAAGGAGAACAGAAAAGGATGAAAAAAAAAAAACAAAAAAACATTGCAACTTTCCACACAACATAAATGTGAGACATACAAGAAAAGATGTGATATAGTGAAGAAAATAATATTATTTTAGCGAGCAGCATCAGAATTCGTGGAGCGTATCATCTCCTTTTACATCATCATTTGCTGGCTTTTTGCTTTATAAATTTTATTTTATTTTATTTTATCAAAAACTACATATATACGTATAAATACAAATTACACAAAAAAAAAAAAAACATGTATATTACACAAAGGTGTTTCGCCGGTACACAAATATATACGTCTGAAAAGTTGCAATTCCAAAAAGGATATCTATTAATCTGCTTTATTGCAATTCTTTATCAGCGTGTGTTTTCAATTTTCAAGTTTCATTTTACAATTTTTTAATACATTATAATAGAATACAATAGTTTAGTTTACATATATTACATATACCCGGTAAAACATTTTTCATATATACTTATACACAAATTAAAATAATTATATCTAATTATGCAAATTTATATGCCGAATATGTCCATACAATTTTATACATGGAAAATTTTTTACCGGGTAACATACAATATAATACAATATTATACAATATATATATATACATAGTATATATAATCCTACCTACCTATCTTAAACATCTGACATATCTTAAACCTTACTAGCTTCATTAATTAGGATTAAGGCTGCGTAACAGCCTTGATCCTAATTGTACATTTTTATTTCTTCTACCTACCTATCTCCGATTTAACATATTTCTTATCTATCCGGCATAATTTATTTTCTACAAGCTCTTGTAGAAATACGCATCCCTACCTACACAGATAACTACCTACCTACCTATTTACTTTGAAAAGTTTTAAAACCTATCAAATATATATTTTACGCGAGGGGCAATTGTTTTAAAATTAAAAAGTAATATTTTAAGATATATTTTAGTTTCACGTCCGAGTTTTGTTTTAAATTTTATGATTGGAAGAAGAATTATATCCACCCGATAAAGTCCATCATGTATAATTAGAAGAAATAGAAATATTAATATTTTATAATAGATAGAAAAAAGATATATTTCAATATATATTTTTCAATATATATATATTTCAAATATATATTTCAAATATATATTTTTGCAAAGATAAAATAGAAAAGAATAATAATAAAGAAGAGAATAGATATAAAGAGACCATGAGTCTCCGGAAAAAGATTCTATATCGGTTCTTTAAGAGAAATTGATATAGAAATATAAAAGTGGATGTAGAAAAAAGATATAATAAATATAAGTCTTTAAAAAAAGATTCTATATCAGTACTTTAAGAGAAATTGATATAGAAATGATATGAAAAAACGTAAGTTTTCAAAAAAATTCTATATCGGTTCTTTAAGAGAAATTGATATAGAAATATGAAAGTAGATGTAGAAAATATAGATGAATATATATATTTAAAAAAAGTAAAAAAAAATAAAATAAAAAAATAAAAAAAAGCACATATATAAAAGAAATATTACAGTATTATTTTAAATCACACAATATACAAATATATGAAAATTTCATCAAAAAAGAATATATCGTCACTCTTTACGTATAATTACATAAGTGTCACATATCGGATTTTCAGTTTATTGCAAAGTACAACAAGTTAAGAAAGTCATGTTTTTTATGGTCACCAGATATTTAAAAAAATATTGATAAGTAACGTAAAAATTTGAAACCGAAAGATTTCTTAACTAAAGAAACTATATATATAAAACTTTAAACTTTTAATCTGCTCTTCTCTAAC